TTTTACTTTAGATAGTTGGTATCACAGTCATTGGTTTGACAGTTAATGTCAAAATCAATTCGCCATGCCGTCCTTAATTTGCTTATATACAATAAGCGGCTGTCAATGTTAAAGAAGAAAAAAATAGATTTTCTTTGGTGTTAAACAAAATTTAATGCCATTTAATTTAATGGCGATTTTTGGACCCCCCTCCTCTTGGTGAGATGTCGTGAGATTTTGCTTGACCCCCTCCCTTAATCTCACGTAAGATTTTTTAAAATGCATATTTTTTAATAATATTAAAAGAAAAGAAAAAAAATATGTAGAAAAATTACCACAATTATTAATAACACGGAGTCGTGCAACAGTTATTCATATTTAATAAATGAATAAATTGTTTCCAAATAAATTAATTTATTAATAGTTAATAAATATTTCCATCAGTGCATAATTAAACAGCGATTTATATTATTATATATGATTTAATCCTATTTTAGTAAAGAACATTTTTTACTTAATTTAACCCAGTTTCATGATTTTTGCCGATACCACCCTTCCCCCACGTGAGATTGGTGAGGTTTAGCTCGACCCCCTCTCCCCCCTAAACACCTCACGTAATTAATGGATGCCCCATAAAGCATCAAAATTTTTGGGTGGATACTTGCCCGACGGGCAATGCCCGTGGTCCCATAAAACATTCTCTTTACTTTTACTGTAAAGAACTGCTTCTATATAGGATTTAAACGGTTGATAGTTCATTTTAAGGGATAAATTATGATATACACAGAAAAAATTGACATTTGCCGCCGGTAATAAAGATTTCCATTTTTACGGTTACTCAATATTTGTATAGATGTCGCTCTATACAAATATTTGATTTAAATCATTTTGAGATAACAATAAGTATTTGTCGTAGAAAAAGTATGGATGCAACTCGTTTATAAACTTTTCTAGATACACATTTAATAAAATTTGTGACTAAAATGGTGTTTATCAAATTTGATACATATTATACTATTTAAGCACTTTTTAAAATTGCAATTTTAAATTTTGTGCTACCAACTTAAGAAAGACAAAAATATGAAAATTTTAAAGCTTTCTTTTGCCACTATAAAAACAAATTAACAATTTTTATTGTTACTTATTTTCTTTTTATGTTGTTTTTAATAATACTTTAATTTTTAATAAAGTATTAATTTGTTAATTAAAATATAACGTTTAATTTTTACTACATTTATTTTTATCAAACTCTTCAAACCTTAGAAAAGTTTTATAAAAAAAATAATAACATAATAGTTGGACAGGCTTATAGCCATTGTTTTATCATAATAAACCAAACTGAAACCACAAATTCAATTAATTTTTTAAAATATTCACTCTGTTGGCTTCGTGATGTTCACAATTTTCATTTATATATTTTTTTTAATTGTACCACATAGACTTAATCAGCTATGTTTAGCCGCAGTTAATTATAATTGCAGTTAATATATAGAGAGAGTATTGCTCCAATTTGCAAAACTGTACTTTAAATTTAAAATCTCGTGTTTCATGTAAACTTATATGTGTCGATACTTTCCCTGATCTTCATGTTCAATTGCTTTAAACATGGATAAATTATATGAAAAAATAAATTGTTTTTCTATTGCAGATGCACAGTTTATATCGGGGTTTAGGTCCTACACTGTAGGATAGAGTTGGCAAAATCGTACTGTCTTGTTTATTTATTGTACCATTAAAATAATTAAGTAACTATTTTTGTTACTATAGGGACCGTGCCGATTTTACCCTATAAAACGAAGGTTTGTTAAATTAAAAACTAAAAGAGAAAATACCGTAGACACGTTAAAACTTGAACTTGCAATTCTGAGAATTACTGGGTGATTCACTCAAGTTAAACCGGCTAGCTGTCTAGATTAAAAGCACAAAAAATAAAAGACAATCGGTGTGGGATGGCACTTTTACGTCTGGTCCGTTTGAAGGGTCATTTGCTATGTTGCCAAATCAAACGATCATTAGTTGAGATACATGGTTTGGACGTTTTTAAACATCAATTTTCTTCAGTCAATTTGAATTATTTTCAATTTCTAAAATTGTCAGTGTCAAAAAATATCCAACATTCATTTATAAATGAAAATGTCTGGATAACAAAGTAAATCATTTTATCATTAAGTATAACGTATTTTTTATAATAAATAAATAAACTTTAAGACACATAAATATGCCGCCAAAGACTGATTGCAGTTTCTTGTTCGGGACCCTTTGGTGCCTTAAAAATGATATTTTCCAAAATCCTAGCTGCTCCTATTTTCAAAATTTTTTGGAAATCATGATTTTTTTTAAATTTTTGTTTATCTTAAAGTCTCCATTTGACAGAGTTATGCCAAAATCATGAATTTAAGCTTTTGCTTTATTGAAAGAAGCGATTTTTGGCTAACCCTGTATATATTAAATGATGTGCAAAGTATAAAAAAGCATTCTCCAAATCTCCTTAACAATATACTCCAATATTATAAAAATCGGTGTACAAATGTGTACTCTGTCAAAGGTAGGATAAACAAAAATTAAAAAAAAAATTAAAAATTTTTAAAAAGTTTCGAAAAAAGTAGCAGCTAGGATTTTGGTAAATATCATTTTAAGGTTACCAAAGGGTCCCGAACAAGAAACTGCAATCAATAAAATTTGGTGTACAAATGTGTACTCTGGCAAAGGTAGACTTTGCGATAAACAAATAATTAAAAAAAATGATTTTTTAACAAATTTTTAAAAAAGCAGTTAGAATTTTGGTAAATATCGTTTTTAAATCTCCAAAGAGTGCCGATCAAAAAACTTTAACCAGTTTTTCGTTCAAAATTGAAAACTACTAAAAAGCCTAAATTAAACAACATTTTAAATATTCTCTAAGCGTTATTTTATTTAATTTTATTAAAAATCTATTTTTTTATAAAAGGTTAATAAGAATGCCATTTTGTAACCTGATAAACGTAGAAATATTTAAGTCTCCTCAATAATATAGGTACTCTAATTTTATAAAAATCGGTGTACAAATGTGTACTCTATCAAAGGTAGACTTTGAAATAAACAAAAATTAAAAAAAAAAATCATGAATTTTCAAAAGGGTCCAGAACAAGAAACCAATCAATTTTTGGCGGCATTTTTATGTGACTTAAACTTCGTTCAGGCACACCGTGTATAGTTAAATAAATTGTCAGTGTCAAAAAATATCTTATATTCATTTATAAATGAAAATGTCTGGATAACAAAGTAAATCATTTTATTGCATTAAGCTTAAGTATAACGTATTTTTTATAATATCGTTAAAATAAATTGTCGAGACAGTTTACAATTTAAATTTCCCCGATGCATAATTTTTCAATCCGTCAGAGCCCCAATATTGACATTTTCCCATCGCATCAAAATTCGCGCAAGTGGTTTGTTATTTTTCACGATGATGATGCATATTTCTCTCGTCAAAAGCGCTCGAAAATAATATTTTGAGTCGCTTCTTTTGTTCATTCATCAGTCATCCTTTATATGTATGGTAGAAGATATAACACGTAATGTTTCAGGTATTTCCATATCGTTTATTCTATTTTACGCCGCTTGTATTGCGACACGAGTTGTATAACGAGATTGGAATTTGAAGAAGTTCTAATCGGATTATTTATATTTAATTGGTCGGTTGGCTTGTTATAACATTTAAGAACATGCGTAATATTTAACGTTAAGTAGATAGATGGGTGAATATTTCAAAAGTGTAATATCAAACTGAAAATAAAATATTTGATGTCTAGTTTAATTAACTATTTTTACTTGATTCCTTACTTATTTTAGTCTAAACGAGCATAGTAAAAATATATTTTAATTTTTGTGTCGCAAACGTCATTACCGTGCCTTGTTCACATTCGAAAAACAACAACATATTATTTTCTTACAATCATTTACAAATTAAATCTTGCAATATCCTGTCTAACACAGACGAAGAAAATACAAAATAATACAATGCAAGCAAAAAATTGCATTATAAAATGTTAACTTTTCTTTTAATGCCGTTTAAACTTTATTCACACCCATGAGCGTCATTGCCGTGGCTACTTAAAATGTGTCTAATTTCACATTTAAAAACGCGATACATTCGGAAAGTTTTCGAACGTCTGATATGGAAATAACCTGCCTGTCTTACGTCCACTAGCATATGTCAAACCATAAAACTGTGACATGCGCCGAACGAAAACGGCTTTTTACGTCTAAGTCCGTCATTGTCGGGGTAAGCATTATTTTAACGTTTATGGGCATACAAAATATTTACATTAATACAAAGGAGTCTTGCATAAACAAAAAGCAAATGGTAACTTGAAAATTCCATTACATTTTCGAATAAACATTGTAAAACACTATATCCTTAAAATCATCATTACCGTGCTCGTCATTGTCGTGTCCCTTACATGTAACCAATTTAAAATATTCCATTTCAGTGGGAAATTAATTAAAATGACAAAGCCACGAAACAAGTTGACCAACGAAGCTAAAATACAAGCAGAACGTGAGAGACGCAAAAGAATAAGAGATGAGCAAGTAAAACCGTGGGTTCAACTTTATAAAAAAGACAAAAAAAAGATTAACGTTTTTAGTCTTCATGTTTATGTTCATGAGTGGAAAAGTCCTAAAAGTGCAAAATTAATAAGATTTGCAATTTTTTGTATGTGTTAACGAAAATTTTTCCGAAAATCGACAGTTTTAAAATATTCACCCAGATACCTTGATGTTAAAAATACAATTTAATGTGATACAATAAATGTTTCTTAAAAGGATTTAAATGCACTGATTTTAGTTTGCAATATTTACTTCTGAAAATACTAATTTACTAAGAAAAATCTTTTTTAGTGTAGGTTTAAAAAAATGTTTAATGAAAACATTAAATTTAAAATGGTACTCATGAGAGTTACCACCGACAAACCATAACTTCATATGAGGATATTAACCCACACCGCACAATTAATGTAATTACCATTATAATTACAAACCCTGCAGAATCTACACGTATCAGTGTAAACCGTACAATTAATTTGCACTGTAACAACTTTTATCGGTATAATTCCAGTATTAGTTCGAGTAACTTTGTATGTGTGTGGGAATCAGTAATTGTTATAAATGATTTGGATAATAGTGACAGCGTATTCGGAATGTTATTAATTACTGTCTTTTATACAAATGCGGAACAAAGATTACACTAGGGTTTTCATTTTCGCAGATTCTTGATGTCATTATGTTGTTTAATAATTGAATGTGTAAAATTTTTCGATGGTAAATGTAAATGGAATGAATATACACTTATATTACACAGTAACTGTTGATTTCCTCCTATGAAAAATTTTACAGATTTTAAAAATAAAGGTTAAAATTTTTTACACAGCCATTCTTATTATTTTAACCTAAACTGATTTTTAATTCTCTATTTTGTTAAGTATAAATCATTTTTTTTCTTCTAATATTTTATGTTTTTACATAATACAAAAATTATACTTAAAGAAAATAATAATTTTATTTTTTTACAAGTAAAAAAAATATTTCTGGTTTTAATTTATGATTTTTTTTAATAAAACTACAGATTTGTATTTATCTTATATTAAATATATGTTGGAAACAAATCTTAATCTTTTAGTTTGACGATTATACATTGCTTTCGAATCTAACAACCTAAAAACACCACTTTATATACAGGGTGTTTCAAATTCGTGGTCCATTGGAAGTTTCTGGAGAACAGAACAAATATAGATTTGAAATTTAAAAGCGTTTATAATCCATTAGGTCTATTTTTTTAAACATATTTTGAACAAAATTCTACTTCCGGTTTGACCGAAAGTGACACAAACTTTGTTATTTCAATTTTACTCAAAATTTAAATTACATTACATTTTTAAATTCTACATAAATTTATGTAGAATTTAAAAATGTAAAAATATATGGGGTGTTCTGTTTAAAATAACAAAATTGATATCACTTCCGGTCAGACCGGAAGAGGCATTTTGTTTAAAAATATTTTAGAAAAATAGACTTAATTGGATTATAAAAATTTTAAATCGATATCTTTTGCCGTTCCTCAGAAACTCTCAATGGACCACGAACGTGAAACACCCGTATTTAGTAAATTTGCAACATCCTGTATAAAATTAAAATAATTTTAAAATAAATAAAAAATTTTAATGCTTGTCCATTTATTCAGTGAATAAATTTTTCCTAAAAATATACTGTCTAGCTGTTATCGAAGCTGTTATATTATGTGCCGAATACCTTGGATAACATTTTATTGGATCGCACTTAAAAAAAAATGACGTGATTTGAAAAAACGCCGAGACACGGGTATCATTTTTTTAAGTCTATTTTCAAAATCTATAGATAAAATCAAATTTTGTCGTACTGTGTTATACAGGCTAAATCACGTAAGATATCACACACATTATAGGCTATTTTTTGAATTTTTGTTTATTTTTTATTGTTATTGTATGCTTATATATACATATATATATATATATATATATATATATATGTATATATATAGGGTGTTTGACATTTGTGGTCCATTGGAAGTTTCCCACGGGGAACAGAAAAAGATATCCATTTAAGTCTATTTTTCTATAATATTTTGAACAAAATGCCATTTCCGGTTTAACTAAAAGTGACATTTGCTAAATTCTACATAAAATTTTGAGTAAAATTTGTATACCATGTCTTATACCTAGAGTAAATAGTTTTCGAGTTATTAATTTTTGCGCGTCAATCAAAAATACAAAAAAAAATTGTGATAAGGTTTGCGGATATGGGAGTGGAATTTTTGGAATCTTAAAACATTGTTTAAGAGATTTCATGTGAATTCTTAAACATTTTTCAACAAATTACGTGGGCAAATCAGGCTAACTTGAAAAGTTAATAATTTTTTTATTTTAAATGTAATACGGTTTGTTTTTACATAATCAAATAGTAAATTAAAAACCTTTCGATTGATGATACTATTTCATAATACTATTGCCTACCTCTAGTTTTAAAATTTGAAATATTATTTTTTATGAAGAAACCTGTGACAGGTGAGTTAACGGTATCTGTGGTTACCACGTAATCTGTCATTGTTAAAAATTTAATGGCGTAAATTTTTCAGGTTTTTATAAACAATTTGTTGACTGATTATAGTCCGGTCAAATTAGACCAAAAAATAACAGTGAAGGTACATAAATTTACAACAAGCTGAAAATCAGTAAAATTGTTTAGAATATAATTATAAATAAAATTTTAAAGTTCCCCATCATTCCCCTGTATGGAAAAATTTTTATTCAAGGTCAAAGGTCAAAAAAATTAGTTTTTCGCGATTTTTATCAAAACGGTAAGTTTTATCATAAAAATACCTGAAACAAAATTGTAGATCATAAAATTATCTATAAAAAATGCATTAATAGTTTTTTTCCTACGAGCCACCGTTTCTGAGATATAACGATTCGAAAAGTTGTAAAAGTTGTAATCGTCATAATATGCACGCCACGTATCTCTAGAGTTGTAATATATGTTAAAATATTTTTCTATACGTCATTTTAACTTACACTTAAAATCTGTCACCTGTCACCTGTCATTTGTCAGGTGTCATCTGTCACCTGTCATCTGTCACATGTCACCTGTCATCTGTCATATGCCACCTGTCATTTGCCACCTTATCGATTTGATTTCGAGGATTTTAATTGGTAAACTTTTTTAAATACCCAACAAAAATTAAACGGGCTTCTGGCCGATTAGTTTTTATTCGATGAAGCTCATCTTTTAGTATGTCAAACTTTGGTCTTTTTCCCGTCGCGACGTCGCCGAACGAAATACATTTCGTTCGGCCAATTTCGAAAATTTCTCTCGACCTAAAAAACGTTTGAAAATTTTTCGAAAAAAATAAAAAAAGAACGCTGTTCGAAAAGTTGCCGGCGTATCCGGCCCGTTTGCAATATTTATTTTTTCTGTTGTCTGTATATCCTTTTTTTCTAAGCGCCGTAGCTCGGAGGCCGTTGAAGGTTGAAATTTGCATCCTTTTTTTCTGCCCACGAGACCTATCCGCGGACCAAATTTTTCCGGTGTCGAAAACGTCCAAGTCCACTTTTTTTCTATTTTTCCGTCAAATTTGGCACGTTCCGTTGTCTTCGCTTAACTTTAGAACGAGCCGAGATTTTTCGTCCAAACTCGAGGAAAAGGGTCTTCGGGACAAGAAGTTATCGGCATTCGATTTCTTCTTTCTATATACGGAGCTCCTAAAAAAACTACCTGCTTTGATAAGTACTTTTTTTAAATTTACATCGCTATTATCTTTTCCAATCATTGCTAATTTCCGTTATTTTGCAATAGTTTCAAATTAAACAGGATCACAAGTGACCCGTGAAATAGGCCTACTGGGGAAACCACGTTTAAAAACGCGCTTAGTAAACTACCTCATAGGTGGCGTGGAAACGTGTGCATATTATGGCGATTATAACTTTTACAACTTTTCGAATCGTTATATCTCAGAAACGGTGGCTCGTAGAAAAAAAGTATTGATACATTTCTTATAGATTATTTTATGATCTACAATTTTTGTCTGATGTATTTTTATGATAAAACTTACCGTTTTGCTGAAAATCGCGAAAAATCATTTTTTTGACCTTTGACCTTGAATAAAAATTTTTCCATACAGGGGAATGATGGGGAACTTTAAAATTTTATTAATAATTATATTCTGAACAATTTTACTGATTTTCAGCTTGTTGTAAATTTATGTACCTTCGAATGTCTAGATTGACCGGACTATAATTGATATTTAACAAAATTAATGATAAAAAATATGGGTCAGTGATTTATAGCAAAAAAATTTAACATTTAAAAATAGTACAAACAGTATTTGGTAATTTAAAAAGAAAAACAATAAAGCTGTAGGATGTCTACTAAATTAAGTAGCTCATTGGAGACAATAAAATATAAATTTCATTTTATAAAATTTGTTAATAAAAAAAATGCGCAAAAAAGAATAATATACCAACAATATTTTAGTCATTAAATTAGTAATAAAAATTGTTAATTAAAATTTTGTTGGTTTATTAAATTTTTATAAAATAAATTTTATATTTTATTCTCTTTTAATAAGCTAGTGCTTAATCTAGTTGACATCCTATAGCTTTGTTGAGTTTTTTTTCAAAACTAGCAAATACTGTTTGTATAACTTTTTAATTTTTTAAATGTTTTTAACGATTATACGACATTTGACAACTGTTAATTAACTTAAAACTAACTTCGGCCCGTGATTAAAGCGTCAAAAAACGTCAAAAAAACCACAACCTGTCAATGTGTATTTAAAAGGTTACTTAGTGTCATGGAAACATGTACAATAACGGGCGTTTTAAAGGTAAGAGTAGTAAAAATATGTTATGGGGATATCCTAAGAAAATATTTCAAAAAGTAAAAATTGCCCGGTGCATTCGCCATTTTTGACAATACTTTTATTATAATAAAGAGAAGCGGAACCATCGCGATGGTTTTGCTACTATTTATTATAATAAATATTGTCAAAAATGCTTCGGTGCGCGAGTCCAACTTGTACTAAATGTATGACTGATCAGTAATCAGTAATAGTAAAAGTGGAAGAAGCCGAAATACGGTTTTTGTAATTCATCAGTAGACCCTTCACCGGCGTTGGGTGATAGTCGAAGTTTGCTCTGGATGATTAATACGAATTGCGTGTTGGTTTTCTTATAAAAAACACGTTTAAATATAAAAAAATCCTCTTTAACTAAAATAAAACAATTAAATAATTATCGTGACAGACAAGTTAAAATAAATAAATTAATTCCCTTAAAACAAAACTAAAAAACAAACTTTGGATAACGTTTGTTATTGTTCTAATTAACGGTATAGAACGATCTGGATATTTAAAAGAGAATAGGTATCTTCTTTGACGTAAAGAAGTGCCCAATAAAGACCAGCTTATCATGTCAATTTTCCCTTGCAATGTGTACGACATTATAATTTATAATTTTAAATAAAAGAAATAAATTTATTTTAAAACGTTCGAAATAC